CAACAACAAGACGACCCATAACTACAACAAGAAGACGCACAACAACAAGGAGACGCACAACAACAAGGAGACTCCCAACAACAAGAAGACCCATAACTACAACAAGAAGACGAACAACTGCTGCAGCGGGAAAATAAACAGTGCACAATTATGAATCATGACAACAAATAATCTAGATCAATTTTGTAGTGCTCAAGAACATTGTTCTGTATTTAACAGTTTATCAATTTCATCTTTATCAATATTATAATCATTTTAGTTCGATTAGTGGCTTAACTAATCAATACATGTGCTACATTTTTTTCCTAACATTTCAACTTTTTTTAATATTTTTCAATTTTATAGGTTTTCATTCGTAGAATCATGAGATTGAACCTTAAATCTCTCGCAAAATATATATTGTCAAGCATGTTTCAAATGAGTTTCTAACATCAACATGCTTCTGCAATATAGGGATCATCTTTGCGTTTGGATAGTACACAACTGTGATGTGTATAATCAAACTCGTAGGATTGTTTTCATGATTTTATATTTAGATCAATGACAACAATATATTTTTGAAAATACTAACAAACAAAGAAAGGTATCAAAGATAGATGAAAATTTATTAGTTAATTTTAAATTCAATAATCATTTCGAATACTACATCATTTCAAACTTCTTATTTTATCAAGAGAACGATAAATGGTTTTTTCAAAGTTCAAACTCCTTATTGCTACACCCGCGAGTATTCACCAGAAATACTCTAGATATTCAAAGCTGTTTGATTCATACGACTACGAACTACATAAACATACAAATAGGCAAGGTATGTTGATAAGATACAATGTTTGATCATTAAATCGGATGAGAAAAATCTAATAATAGGAAAAAGAATAGAAGAAAGGTAATAATATAGCGATAAATAGCAAAAGGAAAGAAAAAGAGAGAGAAATGCTGCATACAATAACATGACAGGCAATACACACATTGATATTCAAGTCATAAAATAAGCAATGATTGATGGTTTTCACATACATTTGTCACTTGTCTTATTTGACAAGCTCTATCACGAAAATGTGTTGCAATTAAAACGTGCCGTCTTCTATCTGCTGCCTATTCATTCTTCGTTTTCTTTTACACACACAGCTACAAATAAACAACTTGTTTCAAAATACAGCATCTATGTATTTTTGTATATTTGTTTGTTCTAGATTATTTGCCTACCAGTTATTAGTCAAGAAGAAGCCAATCTCGATCGCTAATCGAGCAAGGACTGCTCCAAAGGAGCCTGATCAAGATTGAACCAATTCAAGATGGAGAGATCTCAATATCTGGCTGGGTTGAATTTTCAAAATAAAAATATTAAAATCGAATCAAACTGAAAAAAATGTCGTTATTAGCTCAAACAGAAAAAAGTCACAATTGCATTGCAGAATAAATTCAAGACACCTTTTCAGAATGTGTCGTAGAAAAATGTGTTGTGCCGTTGTTGGACAAAAGTGTCACAAGAAGCACCTCGTGTTGTACATCAATGTGTCATGCATTGTGTCGCAAAGTACGATACATGCGACATATTTTATTTTAGTGTGTCAAAATTGATCGAGCTCATATGCAACTTTGCTTTTCTTTCTTGCGTAAAGCTCTGATACTGTCTGCTATGCTAGACTCATAAAACTCATGTTTATACAGTTTTATTTGAGCGATATATTTTGAAAGTGGGGCTGCCGCCAATATTTGTCTAAATGATATCAGACTCTAATTCATAAATCAGTAGTTATATTCAAAATGTGAATGTGACTATTAATAAAACTTATTTGTAAAAACCCGTATTGTCTAGTTCGAAAAATATGATAGAAATAATGCGTTCAAAACAGATTTTTAAATAGCGGTGTTTGTTTTTCGAGAAAAAGCACATTAAAAAGGACAACGTTCCAACACGTTTCGAAAATAGCTCGTAGAATAATAAACAAAATAATCGAAATGCGTTGTAAATAAAAAAAGATGCGTTTGAACTCAAAAATAGCGCTTTTCTCTAAAATTTGGCGTCTAAGCGCACTTCTGTACCAGTTGTTTTTCGTGAGAAGTTAAATCTTTTAACCAGCTATGACTAGTTTTAACAGAAAGGAGTTTCTGAGTTAGGAAACAATATACCTTCACAAACCTATGTGAAATTTTGTTTAGTTTCACTCTACAATTCGAATGATGTATGAAAGTTGCAGGAATGCTCAGAAACCAAATACTAGATAGTTTTGGAAGAACAATGTGTCACTTTGTCTTCCGATTGATCTAATCGAGTTCACTATGGAAAGTAACAGGGAGGCAAAACTAGGAACTTTGCATATTTCTACTCATAGATTAATGCTGAATCCGAATATATTAGTTCGAAAAGCTTGCGGTCAGTCTAATTGACGACAGATATGAGTTTCTGAAAAATGCTCATAAATTCACTTCTTTGGGATGTCCTTTGTATTTGAATGGTTTCACAAGCAAAACTCGATTCAAAATATCGTGAACGTGATATTCATGATCAGGTAACCAAGATCTATCTAACCATGTAGTAATACCAGGGATTCAAGATTTTTACTGGAGTTATGCGTTGGGATCACCTTAAAGTGTCAAAAATAAAGTATTGTCTTTACGATTCATTTCTTATTTCGTCTAAAGTTTTGCTCAAGTTAGCAGAAACACTGAACTTACATCATATACTAGGAGTAGTGGCGTCACCAGAAACTTAAGCGTGATGGGGCTCAGCCCTATCTCTCCTTCCAAGGTACTCGTTGACTTGCTTGAGACACTAACCCTCATAACATACTTTCCAATGTTATTGCTAAATTTTAAAACTATCATTGTGCTGATATTAAATGGTTGTATGTGCACTATTTATATCTTAGGTACGAAGGTGCCTACTTTATGTATGAGAACAAAAAATTTGAAAACAACAAAGAAAAATATTTATTTGAGCATAATTCAACTATTTTCATGAATATCTGGAAAAGTATCAATAAGCTGTTCAAAATTGATATCTATATCACGTTCAATAGCCAATAAACAAATATCACTTAAGCGAGCATGAGTCATAGAATTTCGAACTGTTGTTTTAATAGTTTTCACTTTCGAAAATGTACGGTCACGAGTGGTTGAGGACACCGGACTAGTCATAGCATTCCTTATGATTGCAGTACGCTTTGGAAAAGCTTCTGTAAACGGATGTAATTCAATAGATAAATGGATAATACTACTAGTTAATGATTGTTTTATAGCATTGGTTTTATCACCATTAATTCATTTGATAAAGTATTAAGATCAAAATTTAAATGATTAGCAAATGGTTTTAAAGCATCGAAATGTAAAAATTTATCACGCTTTGGACATAATGATGATATACCTGATAAAATTTGTAAATTTTTTGATGAAAATCAATCTTGCAACTAGATTAATATATTATCAATCAATTGGTAATAAATACATGTTCTATAATAATGTTCGTTTTTATTATCATCACGTTGACCGATTGTACTATTAATGATTGAATCTTTGAATCTTGAAGAAACTACTCGTTTTCGGTGTTGTTTCGGTTCACTCATAATATCAATGTTGTTTTCGTGGCAAAAATTCGTAATTGTCTGAAAGATTTGTTGGAAAGATTCTTCTTCTCGCGATTGATTAAGCTGTTCAATTATGGATTCAATCAATTGTTGTGCATAACCATAGTCAAATGTTTTTGCTAAACAAAAACACGGATATAACATAATCATTTGACAAGTTACTGCTGCAATTCCTACAATACCTTTTAATTTATCTGATAAAACTTTGATCGAATCTAGTAACCTGCGCAATATAAATAGAATTACGATAAACATTGGTTCTCTCATTATTATTACCAATCCTTTTGCCTCTACTGCTTGTATACCACCTTCTTCAATCAAATCATTCAAAACTAAAATAATAACTTTATAATTCCTTAAGACAGAATCTATTGATATCCAGCGAGAGTCCCAACGTATGTTCGACCATGATTTCAAATTTGTTTCAACTAAAGATAAAAAAAATATTAATTGAAGTAGTATGAATATACTTAAAACCTAGTTGTAATTGAACTTCAGCATCTCAAAAATGTTCGTTGTTAACACGTGATGCGGTGAAGTATGTGTAAATTTTCGATATAATCGCAGAAAATTCATTCACGTAGGATATTGATATACATGCATTTGCAATAACCAAATTCAATCGATGAACATAACAGTGCGCATAATTTGCATTCGGCATGAAATTCTGCCGTAAAATAGCCTGTACACCGACATTTTTTCCTTCCATTACAGATGCTCTACAAAATTCAAATAAGACTCTAGTTCGATGTACTTTGATTCATGTCTGAATTAAGTAATTACCCATCAAAACACATCACAATGCACAAGCATAAATCAATATTAAATTTTCTTAATATATTAACAATAGCATCAGCCAATGGTTTAGCATCAAATGAATGTAGTGCAATTAAATCGATAAAGTATTTTTCTATAAAATTATTTGACTCTTTAATTTTTGTATCATCAATAACTCGAAGTACTATAGACATTTGCTGATAACCTGAAATATCTCTACTTTCATCAGCTAGCAATGCATAAACTTTATTTTTCAACCAAATCAAATAAAAAACCTAATAATTTTCACTTCTAGAAAAAGTTTATTTTAAAGATACTTTTTCAGAAATACGATATATAATTTGTTCGACCATCAAATGTATAAGCTCGTTTTGAGTACATGAAGATAAATACGTGGCACTACTTGTTGAATCTTCAAAAATTGACCTCACCACTGAATCAGTTTCAGATGACCATTGAAGAATCTCTAAAAGATTTCCTTTGTTGCTTGACCTATAGAATCAAAAGAAATATATAAAATTACAATGTAAAACATCTTAAAACTTTCTGTTGATGTTCTTCATGGCCTCTTAAAGAAATCATCTGTCTATAGCATAATTGGACGACGGATGAAATTTTAATTAAACGTTCGTGGTTTTTGCGAATCTGTTCCATCCTTTCTTTATCTATTATGTTAATAACGGTTTCTTTAGATTTTTCACATATAAGAAAATGATTATAATTTGAAGTTGCTAGAATATGTGCTGTACTTGTTTCATGTAGCTTAAATCCTTTATTTTTACGAAGTGCATGCTTTCACTTATTATATCCAATGATAAAGGCATCACTTTGATTTCGATTAATTAAATTATTTGTGGAACCAAAATGTCTACAATAACAGCAGTAAACCCGATCATTATTGATCGAATATTTCAGTCATGGCCTATTATTAAACCATTGTTTTTGAAAAGATCGGCTTTCTTTATTGATTTTGTATGATGGTAAGATAGATTGTACTGGTGGATCAAATAACGAACGACTAATGTCAGCAGGTCTTGAAGATGTTATTAAAGATATTGATAGTGAAGTAGGCTGAGAAGATGGATTGACTGATGAACAATTTACATCAATAGGAACTACTATTGGTGATATTAAACATGTTGAGAGTATTGATGGCAGTGGATCAACTAACGGACGACTAGTATCAATTCGTATTATGAATAATGTTTGTGCTGATAATGATGATGTATATGATGTTAATGATGTTGAAATAGATTTATCGTATATAGCAGTTGCACCAGAATGTAGATTGGTATTTGAGTCAACTATTGAAAGCAAATCTGTTACTTCAGACAAAACAAGTTGTCTTGATATTTCTCTAAGTGTGGATGAATGGTGTAACTCTTGATCATTTAACCTTTTTTTTGGTGAAGATGGCGAAAAGAAAGACATGATAGTTCTTAGTTTTGATTTACCAAGTTGCATATTTTTTTTTTATTAATCTGCTTGTGAAATATTTCAACTTATCGCTAGTCTTCCTGAGGACTTGTGAGTCATAATGAGCAACATAAAATGATGATTAGTGCTTTCAATATCTAATAGTTACAGAAATGAACATATGGTTCCCCATTACTATCAACTGAAAAACTATTTACATTCTCAACGATTCAAAATTCAGATAACGATACTCTAAATGATATTCATTTCTTTAATTCAAAAATTCAATCGATAAAATGAAATAAGGATGGTGGGACTCAGAAGCCAGGTCGTGGGGCTTAGAAGCCCGGTGATGATGCTCAGCCCCACCTGGCTCCGCCCTAGCGATGCCACTAACTAGGAGTTCAATAGACTTGAGTATTTTTTCGTTTGTTTTTTATATTGTTCTTATTGCATATCTTGATGGTGATTTATGTTATTCTATTATAGGGTCGTGTTGATGATGCTGTATGTTGGTGTGTTATTTGTGATATTGTTGGTAATGTATGTTATTGTATAGAGTTAGCAGTAGTGTTATGTTGTTTATGAATATGCTTATATTCACTAGTATTATTTCTTTCATAGTGTTTTTGTTTTTTGTTTTATTTATATCTATATTTGCATAAGATAATCTTTTTATACAGACAGTCAAAAACGTCGAAAAGTTTACATTTGTAGTACAACTTTAAAAAAAATAGTGTTGTCTTTGTCTGTTGCAGTTTCTTGTCGTTTATAACTAGGTTTTGCCTCTAGTTTTTTTTCAAGTTATCCTAAGAAATAAAAATTACGATAGCTGTGAAACATAATAAAGATTGGAAAAGTAAGATCTTTTTATTTGACTGCATTTCTGTTCTTTTACAACACATCGATATGTTAAAAAAGTATTTTATTCCGAATGAAAATAATAAACACTCACAATTTACAGAAATCCTTGATGTACGATGCATCATAGATAGAAAATATTTTTCATATGAGTAATATTCTATTAAGAGAATAATACTACTTATTGTTCTGTCTGTTTATACTATGGTATTTTCTACACGTGCAGAAACAATGCGTTCTCTCGTCTATCGTATGAAAAACAAAAGTATTATTTGATAATTTCATGTGTAAACACTAACGTAAAAGCTAAGCTCGCAAGGCGCACAAATATAAACAACGTTTGATTGGCAAGTGTTCGTTTATTCATGATATGAAACAATATAAATCTGGCCTTGAAAGAAAAACATGGAGCCCTTGGCAACCATTGGGACTCGTAATAGGCGTTGGTATTGTTGTTTCTTTAATTCTCATAGGTTTAGCACTAGGTTTAGGTTTGGGTATTGGATTACACAATCGTAGTGGAAACGAGATCGTGATTGTATCGCAAAACACAACAACAACAACAATAACAACAAATGCAATAACACAAATAACGACAGTAACAACTATAGCAACGCTAACAACACCAACAACTATAGCAACACGAACAACACCAACAACTATAAGAAAGAGACCAATAGCTACAACAGGAAGACAACTAAGTACAACAAGAAGACTAAAAACAACAAGAAGGAGACCAACGACCACAAGAAGGAGACTAACGACTACAAGAAGGAGACTAACAACTATAACAAGAAGACCAGCAACTACGGCAAGGAGACCAACTACTATTGCATTGAGAACAACAACTGCAACGAGGAGACTGACAAGTAGCGCCTTGATAACAACAGCTGCAACAACTACACCTATAACTAACACAACCACACTGACAACTGCAGCTGCAGGAAAATAAACAGGGCACAATTATGAATCATGACAACAAATCGTCAAGATCAATTTTGCAGTGCTCAAGAACATTGTTCTGTATTTAACAGTTTCTCATTTATATTTTTTGTCAATATAATAACCAATTTAGTTGTATCAGTAGCTTATCTAATCGATGCATATACTACATTTTTTTCCTAACATTTCAGCTTTTTTTTTGTATTTTTCAATTTCATAGAACATTGTCATTTGTAGAATCACGAGTTCGAATCTTAAGTCTCTTAGAAAACACATATTATCAAGAATATTTCAGATGAGTTTGTAATTGCAACATAGCGCTGAAATACACGGATTATGTTTGTGTTCAGATAGTACAAAAACTGTAATGTGCATAATCAAACTTGTAAGATTGCTTTCATGATTTTCCATTGAGGCCAATAACAACAACATATTTTTGAAAATATTAACAAAGAAAGAAAGGTATCAAAGATAGATCGAAATCTATTAGTTAGTTTTATTTTTGGCAATCACCATATGTTCGATCGTAGTTACGGCGCAACTGCGTCGTATTTTCCAAAGAAGATAGCATAAATGAGGTTTTCATCTTATTAATGTTGTTCTTGACAATTAAATTTATTTTTGAGCAAAAGAAAATAAAAAAATTAGAAAAAATACAAAATTGAACGTTTCTATAAAAAATAAAAAACAAGAATGTGAACAGAAAAAATACTCTAAAAAACCATTAATCATTTAGAAAAGTTAAAAAATAAAAAATTGACAAAATTAGAATAATGCAAAAATAGATTGAAAAATAAGAAAAAACAAAACAGTAATTAAAGCTAAACTTAAAGCAATTTTAAAACAACAGAAAAAAAAAATAAATAAAATCTTGAAAAATAAAATATTTTGAAAAAATGTTACAAATTAGAGAAAACAATCAAGACATTTTCGAAATATGCCTTCCATCTTTTTTGGTAGAATGAGCTATGAGCCGAAGTCTCTTGGACACTGCTTTTTATAGTCTCCGTGTAGCTACGTCTTACTACTGGAGTGTGACTAATTACAAGCAAGAGAGAATCACTTACAATTAGTCGATTCTAGTTACAGTGAATCGTATAATATGACTACTGCGCCACAGTTACGTACAACTGCAATGGAATTGGTAAAAAAGAGGTGACATGGATCTTTTCGAACACTACGTCATTTCAAACTTCTTATTTTATAAAGAAAACAATAAATATATTTATTTTAAAATTAGATCTCCTTATTATTACCTTTGTAAGTGCTTGCCAGAAATATCACAAGCATTCAAGTTATTTGATTCATACGACGATGAACCATGTAAACATTCTAGGAGGCATAACATATTTATGAGATAAAGCATATAGTCAATAAAAAGCGATAAAGCAAAAATAGTAATAGAAAAAAGGAAAGTAATAGAATCAAAATTAAGTGACAATGGCGAGATGAGTAGGAAAACAAAGAGAGAGACAGTAATACTGCATACAATATCATGAGACACTTTACACGTCTTACCCATGTCGTGAAAATCGCCGTGATTTTGGTGATTTCTTGAAAAATGCACGTACAATCGTGATTAATAGAAATATGTCGAAAAATCGGAGATAAAATCAGATTTTATCGTGATTTGGCAAAGAAACTCGATTAATCGTAATCGCAGAAAATCAGAGTGATTAATCGTGATTAATCGATATTTTCTTTTTTTCCCGAGAATATTAATGTATCAATTGCAACAACTGTCTGTGATTAGAAGACTACAAAAAGTCGCAACGCCAATAGAAAATATATTCTGAAGCAAAAAATATTATGTCTATTTTTTAAAATAATATTTTTTTTTTATCATAAGTGTACTATATGGCTTCAAATAGGGTGCAATGATTACAGAACATTTTTAACTTGTAGGCAAAGACATTAGAATCTATTCATTTTCTTGTTATATATCATTGAGCTCATTCAGATTTTTTGAAGTTTTCTAGAGAAAAACCCTAAGAATGAATTCTTCGAAATGATGAACGCGTTTCAAAGATCCAAAATCATGATAAGAAAGAAAACAATACGTTTTAGGTCGTTCTCGGAATTGCAGAATGCTTTTTCGTAGATTCAAAAATCAATTTCGGAAAAATAAACTAAATAAATAATTTATTTTGCGTAAAATATGCAAAAAGATTAAATTAAATAAAGGGAAAGGAAAATATTTTTTAATGAGAAAATACGTAAAAGAGCAAGAAATATAAGACATACTTGCGGATTACATTTAATTAATAGTTTCATAATCTCAACAATTTCTATTCACTATTTATTTTATCATAAAAGAAATATTTTCGCTTTGTTTTGTTTAGCAGTATCATTTTCTTTATTTTTTAAATAAAGATTTTACTTATCTTTATTTTTTAAACATGTATTTTATTTATCTTCACCTTTGAAAATAAGGATTTCATTTATTTATCTTTATTTCATAGATATAAATATTTTATTTACATTTATCCTTTAGTATAAGTGAGTAATAAAGGTAAATTAATACCCATGATCATAATCGTCTGTCTGTTAGACATAAAGAGAAACAAGTAATTAAAATAAAAGAGAAAAGATATTAAAAATACTTTTTTAGTTTACTGTTTCGTTTAATTTATATAGTATTTTCAAAGTAAGATAAATATGACAAAGTAGTCTAATGGATAATACACTAGTTTTTCAAGCTGAGAGTATCGAGTTCGAATCTAAGTGATAGCAGAGATAATATTTAAATATCAAACTAGATCGCGCGGATCAAGATGCAGAAGTGACTCTCGAGCAGCGTAGAGGAGAGCACAGAAAAGAAAGGGTTCCCGAAATTATGGAATTCTTTTTTCATAATTTTTTTTCTTACAACAGGCTTTTTATGAAACGGGAACGCGTTTTCAACCGTTTTTTTTCAAATGATTATTTTTTAATATTAAAATATTTTAAAAAAATTCGAAATAAATCGCGATTTATCATAATAATCGCTAAAAATATCATTAAAAATCGGCGATTAATCGCGTTTCAGCTCACGATTATCGCTTCGATATATTGCGATTAATCGGCAATTTTTTAGTGATTTCTAGGACATGGGTAATATTCAAGTTATAAAGAAGCAATGACTGAGGTCTTTTATGTACATTTGTAACTTGTCGCATCCGAAAAGAACTTCATAGATCATCGTATTTACTCTTATGAAATGCGTCTTAGTAAAAATATATATTCTTGTAAAAGGACGAACGGTTGAAATCTAATTTTACAACTCGTTCTTCTCTTTATAGGTTACTATGCATTGGATATTTGGAAAAGATCGATATCTCGAGCAGAAAGACAATGATGAACCAATTTTAATCTATTTCTAACTTCTTTTAGAAATAATTCTTTTTGGATTTTTGGGTAACAATGGATATTCGGAAAATATTCATGCAAAATATAGAAAACTGTAAGCAAAAATATATCTTGCGAAGATATATTCTGAGAGAGTTCTATTATCGTTTGTTTATATTAGTTTGAAAAACGTTATATAAATGTTTTGATTGATTTTATCAGTTGTTGATTTTGAAGACATCTTCTTTGTATAAGTAAAATTTGAATATTTGAATTCTTAAATTACTTCTAGTTCTTAATCCTTCGTATAGATATGAACTACTGGATCTTGTACTTGTGGATGAACAAGATGCACTTGTACTTTGAATAAATTAACTGATTATTTCCATGTCTTGAAATAATTTGTTATATTGTTACATATTTTTGTTCTTTCTTCTGCTCAAAACTTAATCATGAGCTTAATTCTTCGGTATATTGGTGAAGTAATGAGCATACGCGGTGGAGCCGTTAAGCTTTGGTAAGCTCTGATATTTAACAAAAGTTGACAGATCTCATTCTTAGTGTACATTTGGCGAACGAAAACGGTTTCAATAACAGTTGTCTCGTGTTTTTCTCAAGCGTCTATTCAGTCAAATGTTAGATGGTAGATGTGTACGACTGTGTTTCTGGAAACATCTCTGCATATTACTACTAGTGACTCGTTTATGCGAAACAGTCGGCTAATCCACCACTTCTATGATGCTGCCATGTCTCCATCGATCATAACAGTTTTTCTACTCTTCTTCACTTCACCTTTATAAAAGATTTTGAAATGATAAACGAACAGTTATCTTTTCTGCAAGACTGCATAACAACTAAGCAGCACGAAATCAAGTCTTTTTGTTTCGAGATAAAAAATCAAAAAGAAATACTGATGCTAATAATCATGAAGTTAATTCAAACGGTTCGTCAATTAATTTAACTCGCAAGGAAGAAAAGGTGAATTCAACTAAAAGGTATTTGTCATCAGAATTAAAAGAGACTTGTACTTACATCACTATCACAACTAAAACAAAGCAGAATTAAAATGCGATCTACTTTGCTGTCATATGATAGTCGCCATGTTTCAGAAAAACAATCAGATCTTATAACAATAAACGGTAAGCATAGCTACCAATTAAGATGGGTCAATAAGCACGATTGAGTTTCTTATTGTCAGGTGAGAAAATGAAAGAAAATCCTTCAAACGACTAATTCTCACTTATGCAACTATTTACCATTACTTTTCTTTTTTTTTTTGAAGTAATGGAAAAGTTATTGTTATCCTTGTCAAAGTGCTCATCGCAGTGATTATCATCCGCAGTCAAGTAAAATGTCAGAGTATTCATTCACAGTCTTTAGATTTAGTAATTAGAAGAATGGTTTCGCTAATTTTGAACCACATGAAAATAGCCAAAGTCATCGCAACTGTGTCTTTTCAGTAAAACAAGAGTGTAAACTATCAGTAGCTGTAATAACCAGTTTAGTACATCAAAATCACCAAGCAAAGCGGCGAAGAATGGTGTTGATCCCAGTAAAATCAATTAAGGTTTTACTGAAACAAGGCTTGGCCCTATGTAGTTACGTTGAAGAAGAACCCGTGTGATAAAAATCGGTGATTTTCCACTAAAACTGATAGGTTTTCATGATATGGAAAGAAAATTTAATTGAACTAGAAAAATTCACACAAGATGATGTTCGTAATTTATCATCATGGATAACTGAAGAAAACTATTAATTTCATGATATAATACATGAACTACGTAAAATAGTATCGTCAAACATTGTTCGAGAATTGGTTAAAGAGGTAAAAAGAACTATTGGTCTGTATCCGTTTAGTTGAGATCGGCACAAACTTTACTTTCCATAGGTGTTGGCATTTACAACAGAAATTTCAAACAGACTAGTTATAAGCACAACAAAAAAAGAGTTATAGATAGGACCATAATTGATGAGTAGTATAACATGTGAAGAAACAACTGACGAATACGGTGTTGAACAACTATGTTATACAATTAGAACCGTTGATCCTCAATGCATTGTACATGACGATGTTATTGGGTTACATCATAACATACGAAGGTTCAGAACATATCACAGAAGTTATACTTGATATTTTAATTCGACGTGGTTTATCTATCGACTTAGGTAGAGGACAAGGATTTGACGGTACTTTAACGGTGACAGGCCATTTATTGAGCATATTGGCTAGAATTTAAAACTTAAATTCAAAGGCATACTATGTTCATTACAATGCACATGGGTGCATTGCGCTCGTATTGTACCGTTTGAGTCAAAAAATCAAAAAAAAAAGTAAACATGGAAAGCATTCGAGTCGTACATTCGACAGAGCTTTATCTATTACACATAAATCAAGTGCTTTCCCAACTACCAGTTTTTTCTTTTGAAAAAAAACGAGTTTTATAAAAAAAAGATGACTAATTTTATATGATTTTTTGGTAAAATAAAATTTCTAAAAAATCCATGTTTTTCAAAGTTTCTTTGGAGAATAGCTTTTAAAATAGGATTTATATATGATTATCATATATCAATCAAAAGCTCTTGAAAAGAAGAATCTAATGAGCATATACAGAACTTTATCCACACATATGGATGTATATTTCAAGGATACCAAAGTAACGAAGATACTCTAAACTTCCATCACTCCACCTCTCTCAGACTTCTTGATGGCCCAAAGTATTATGGTCCAAAGTATTAAGAAATCTTGTTAATACATATGGAAACTTATCTCAAAGTGAGAGGAATCGATCAAACTCAAAAAAGCTAAAACTATCTTATGTTTTCTGTATCTCTAGATAACCATTGTCTTAGTCTGTTGGGATATTTTCATACAAAAATTTGTCGGGACATATTCAGACGAAAAAATCTGTCGGGACATTTTTAGAATAAAATACTGTTTTCTCATGAACGGTATGATTTTAAGAGCTGAAATTCTAATCACAGTCCTATCGTATAGTCTGTTAAAATTGGCGAAAAAATCATTGATTGACCTCTTATAGTTACCGAAAAATCAAAGAAACAAAATCAAATATCTGTCGGGACATTTAGTGGAACCATAGCTACCTGTTCCTTTTATTTTTACTTTTTTATTTGATTTAATGGTTCCTAAAATAAATACTTTTTTTTACCAAAATATCTCTGGCCCTTTTATCTATCGAATGTAAAAAGAATATCAGAGTTTACTTCTAGATCGGCTTTAGTAGCTTAAATTCAATGTGTCGGGACACAAAATGGCCCGTTAGTGTATTTAGGCAGTTTTTGCAATATTTGATGGGTATATTGAAATCAAAGCTGTATTTAACTTATATAGTCAGAAAGAGGAAAGTCTTGGCTACAATATAGCTCTAAAAAATTAATTTTGTCCAGCGACAGTTATGGCAAAGAAAAGCGGTTTTTTTTTGTCGATAGGGTCGGTAAAACTCAGTGATTTTTCTCCTTTTTTCCTTGAAAATCCTACAGCGATATCAGCCTAAAGAGTTAATAGTATGTTTGGTAGATGACCTAGACAGTATGAAGTTTTTAAAAGAAATTATCAAAATCCGTGGATAGAAGCTAAAATATGAGCGTTTTACTGTTGGCGACCCATCGGTACAATACGAGCGCAATTCGCCCTCATTCATTAGATATGACAACTTAAGTTGTGAATCTTATGAAAAAGTGTACGAAAAGATTGCATTTATCCGATAAGTTAAATGGCTTAATTTATTATTCTAAATTGTAGCATTATGTCCAACTGGTTTGACGGTGCGTGCATCATCAATGAATTCTTTTGTTGTTAACTTTAACTTAGTTAAAATATCATTAGACATAATTGGTACCCAACTTAGGCCACCTTCGACCAAAACGAGCGAATGTTTATAGCCAAATGCAGAAATTTTTTATGCATTTCGGATTTGAGTTAAGTAAATATAGTTCTTCGTCCTTTTTATAGTGGAAAAATGCTAGCAATTTTTGCGATAACAGGTCTCTTCTGGTCTAAACACTGGAAAAAGTAAAATAATCAATTACCATATGAGAAATCTCAGATTAATCCTGCTACTATCTGGTGAGAACGGAATTCAAGCATCAGGAAATTTTAAAATGTTTTGAAGGTTTTTTATGTTCAATCAAAATACTCAAGTTTCTTCTTGTTATATGTCGATGATCGTTACAATTATTATTAAATAATTTGATTATTAGGCTATTAATGTGTTAAAAAATTAACGGACTGGTCTCTCAATTCATGAATCGTTTTTGACTTGAGACAAAGTGTATCAGATAGACCCTAATGATAGATGCATACTTTGAAACGGATTCGAACCGTTAAAATATAGCTACGAAAATACTGCAACAATACATTATTTTTTAACTTGACGCCATGATCCCCTCATGAACATCAGGGTTATTTGTTTGTAATTTCCACCTGGAAAATTTTCACAGAGACAGGTTTTAACAAAACTAAGTAGTTTATTATGAAAGTTTCAAATATTTTGGTTTACTCCTATACTGAAACAATAACATTAAATATTTTGATGAATATTACTAGACTCATATTTTAGGATCGAAAGAACAAAAAGATCTAAAATTTTGAAAATAAACCATTCTCATTAAAGCCTATTGGTGTGCAAAGTTCCAAGTCGAAAATCAAAAGTGATTTTTTCAGATGTTTTCGAAGGAGCATCACGGTATTTATTTGAAAAGTATCATACTACTGCAGTATCTCTGCAACAATAAGCAAAAGATTCGAACTTCTTGATGAGTTTTAATAAACCATTAAGATCTGCATAATGCACATAGTTTCGACTCAAAAATAATTACTTAGTTGGTAGACGTCTCTCATAAATGAAATCTTTTATTGATTATTAACTCAATAGAATTTTTCTGTCAAATGATTTTATCAATAGTAGAATATTTTGATTATAATATATGTGCACTCGTAAAATTATGAATACTTAATGAAAATAAAAATAAGCTATTTTGAATGATACAAACTAATAAAAATACATGAAAAACTCGGCATTTTTTTTTCTTTGTAGAAATATTTAAATATATTCGATTACTCTTCACTCGACAATATAAATGTGAATTTGTCTTATCAAATTTATTTTATTATTTCTATCTCGTGTAGATAAATAGATAAAATTACTAATGCAACAGTCGAAAAAGGTAGAGAACGTCGTGAATTACTTCAAAAATATTTGTTATTTTGAAATATTAACAGGAAAATTCGTCCACTGAAATTATAAACTTTTTTAGGTGTATATTTTGATTTCGCATGTTTTTCTTTTGAATTTCTCTTGTATTGAGTGTTTTATTATAGATTCTGTTCAAAGGAATGATTAATTAACTTTTAATCGAAGTGTTCTTTAATTCTATTTATCTATCGATAAGTACTTATAGAAACATTCATAGTAATGGCAAATGCCATTTAAGAAACAGGATATTCATCATGCATAAGATCTATTTCAAGTTTGTATATATAATAAAAATATCTTCAGAGAATTCTACATAGTTTCATAAATATGCGATTTTAGTTATTTGAATCATTTGGTAAGAAATTCAAATCTTCTTATGTTTTATTTAATTGAAAGAGTTTATAATCGAATACAAAATTTGTTTAGGAATTATTTTGTTAGAATCGTTATCGATTGAATCTGACAACTATATTAGAGAAAAGCTCGTTTTTTTTATCGATGTAATTGTTTGAAGAGTGAGTAGAAATAACAATTTTATATTGTGTGCATTGTTTAGAATTTTAATTCCAAATGAACAAAAGTATAAAAAAGAGGAAAACAAAATTATGATGGTAAAATTCGTTGTTTTGTACGGCTTGATTCTGTTCGAAAAGTTTCGTTAGAAAACGTTGCTGCTCGAACTTCATTTAACCAACGAGTGATATAATCATATTTATTTTCATCGACATATTTCATTTGTTGTTCAGAAGTTTTACTATCATTTGAAATGATTAATCTATCAGATAAATTGATATTAGTTTCTTGTTGATTAACAATAGGAGAAACTGTACTTGCACAATTAATTGATATTTGATTATTATTCGATAATGGTTTTGATGATTTTATTGGAGAAGATTTTGGTTGTTCTTTTCGATGATTTAAAAGCGGATTGTTTAAAATTGGATTTATTCGTTGTTGAGAATGATCACGTTTATGATCACCACTTGCAATACTGGATGTTGCAGCATGTGTTGAAAGTTTTGATTGATTTGATAATGATTGAGTATCGACTATAGCTGAAGATTCACGTGTTAAAGAATGACTTATTCTAGGACGGCTGATTGGAACAAATGGAGATGATTGACGAGCATTGGTAGGAAATCGAATAAATGTTGCACTATTATTTGTTGCCACTTGTATGAGACGTCTTTGTCGAATGAATGGTGATAATGATGACGATGTTGATGAAGAAGATGACGATACGAAAACAACTGATGCTGGTTTTACTGGCGGTAAATCATTATCAATAGCCATGAAAACAAGAGTAAGTGAACGATAAAATTAAGTATTTCTACGTTTCAAAATGTCAGTTGTTGCCTGAAGATAGAGAAGAAAAATAATGAATAAATCAAAAAAGAATTGATTCACGTATATATATATATATATATACGTATATAAATAAAACACAAGATGCACTTGAATCTTTTTTTTTCTTTTGTATTTCTATTGACACTAACAACAATCTTTTTCTTTTGCATTCTTGTAGACATCAACTTCACATTTATTTTGTTTCAATGTCAATATTTTGGTTACAGCATATACAAGAAAGAGAAGCAAAAAAAAGGATTTCTCTGTTTTCTTTTTCTTTTTTTGTTCTTCTAGGGCTTCTTTTGTATTTTATTTTTTGCACATATTTGTATTTTACATATATTTAATCAACAATACTTTTTCTTCTTCTTTATTTTTTCGACATGCAATCTTAAATAACTCTATGTTTATGTCTCAAATATAACAAAAAAATTTGATGCAAATGTCCAACGATCGATCAATCGATTAGTAAATAAACTTTTGATAGTTATGTATTTTAAAATCTACAATCAGGGGATAGAAAAAAAAAGAATAATAGCTTTTCCGTAGTAGAAATGTTCACTGTATTTTATCATTAATGTATACATATGTGAATAATTAATCCAATATATTTTTAATTGCATGTAATTCAATCAATTTATTCTAGAATATTGGAGTTGTTATTTTGATGATTTGCGCTGTTCTTATTGATGATGATTTGTATTTTTATCATATAGATCAAGTTTCAAGTAAAGAAATCTGAGTATTTGAATAAAAGTGGCAATATTAGACACTGTTTCATTACGAAATATCTTTTCTTTTAAAATAATGACGAGTTGTATTACATAGAAAAAAAATTAAGAACTCAAATAATTGAAATCTTAAATCAGACTGTTATACTTATAAAAAGTTCATCGTGTGGGTTAATGAAAAACACTTGAACAGAATATTTGTTCATTTTTCAGTCTCTTGAAGGAGTTTGCAGAAATTCGAAAACATTAGATAAGAATTAGACTTTTATGTTCTTGCCAACTATGGTTTCAGTATTTTTGTAAGACTTTTGGTTTAAGAGTTATGAACCGACATTTCTGAGGCTTATAAATTAAGTTTGATGAATTAACACTTACTTAAAGTAGAAAAAAAAGATTATTTCAAAAATAGCGAATGAAACAGCAAATATTTCTTGATAAAATAATTCATTACTGATTAGCGTGCTAGAATTAATTTGTGAAGGGTGAATATTTTGGTAATGTAGACCATGTCAATTTAGACATTTTTTTTCAATTTCTACGGAAACCAAACTTTACAAAGTGAGCTCAGACATTTCTGAATGATTGTTCTCAAACTCTTGATTCTTATATCATTTTGTAGAAAACATTCTAGTCGTTAATTGTATGCAAAAAGATCGGTAACATAATGTATGTAATAAAGGAAACTATAACTGCACAAAAATGTCAATTTTCTTCGTGGAAACTTAATTTTTGTGCTTCTCAAAAGTGGACTCTTAACTATTAACCTAGAAATTCTCGAGAAATGTTGAATCTATATTCGGAAACAATACAAAATCTTTACTCAAATTCAATGTTTTCAAGTTTCTGCAGTTTTGAAGCGATTGAAAAAAGAATGAATATTTTGTCAAATGACATACCGATAATCTATTATAATATTGTTAATGATAGCTAAAAAAGTCTGAAATATGTCTTTCTCCTAATGATGATTGTCGTTCGAAAAATGGACTTATTAAATCCACTAACATCTTTATAAATCGATCTATAATAAGAAAACAACAAACCTGGTTTGTAACGGGAATATTTAACTTATTTGAATGATTCTTATCCCACTTACTGTATTGAAATAAAAATCACAGTTTTTTGAGTGTTGTGATTTTTCTACCATCTCTTTGAAATCTATTTTGAGTTGATCTTGGTCATTTGAAATGGTGGGTAATATAATTTCATTTTCATTTTCAGTTAAAAAGAAATGATAACTATCTCTCATTTTTTTTTGATTTGTAATAGACTAAATAGTACTTTTCTTTTGAAAAGTAAAGTGAAAAATTAAAAAACATTCTTTTAATTACATTGCTTTAGTTTGAAATGCTTCTGTTCTTCATTTTTCTTGCCTAGATCCCACCTAAACCAAATGGTTTTTTTTCTGTTATACAAATGATATTTATAATGAAGTCATTCTTTTTATTTTGACATGTACGAATCTTAAATCATTACCTATCAATTGGAATTGATTTAATTTATATTTACAAAAAAATACGATGGAGAGTTTTTCACAGCGGGAACAACTTGAAAGCACAGTTGGAAATGATACATCATTTTTTAATTTTGCTTCGTAGATGAAAAAAAGAAGACAGTAATCGTTGTTACAAAACATTTTTTTCTCTAAGATAATCGTTTAGGAACGAAAATGGACTGTATACATTTTGTAAAGAATATCGTGAAGCGTTTACATTACTGTTATTATCAATTCTTGTCTAAGAATTTTACACAGAATCTGTGATTATATTGAGTGCAGTTCTTATTATAGAATTTATAGAATTGCTGTGGATAAAAATCTAGATATATATGTCAGGCAAAGTTGAGATTTATTCAAAATGAAACAGTTTTTTAAAGGTTTAAAAAGAAAAAAAAATAAGAAAAAGAAAAAGATAAGAATATAGATTAGACTGTTGTTTCATACATAAACAATAATCAACTGGCTTTATTTATATTGTTCAATAGAAGAAATCTTCCACAATATTTTGTTTTATTTCTTGGACATGAGTATATTGAATGAATAGTGAAAGGTTTTGAAAAAATATTGTTTTTTTTTTTAAGTATTTATTGACACGAGCAGGAGATTGGTGTGGACTATTTCTAAAAAGAATGGTCCATTGCACGACATGTGCTTTTCATAATTATGAAATTAAAGCATAATCAATGTTTGTAAACATAAATGAAATTAAAAGTTCAATTTGTTGTCTAAATAATGGTTTAATTGGTAGTATATGATGCATAATCGCTCGTGGCAAGTTTTGGATAAGATCTTTCGATAAAACAGCAATTAAATTTGTATTTTTGTTGCTTTTGCTACTTATATTAATATTATGAAAACGGGAACAAAACGGACAAGCAAGCTTATTAAATGAAAAAATGATCAGAATTTACTCAAAGGACTCTTTTCTGAAGTTTCTTGGAAACGACTGGGCAGAATATTATGAAACTTTCAAGATGAATGTATATCTCTATAAGTAGAGCAAAATTTGTCATCGACTCAAAATTTCTAGATGCTTTCTTCATGGAGATATAAGAATTATAAAGACTAAAAATGCCTAGAAGTTCTTCCAATCTCTGCAAGACTTTAAACTTCATTCTTTTGAGCTGTAACTTTTTTATGATAACTAGGATCGACTCAGCGTGCAGGGTATTCTTTTTCTTTCAAAAACCTTGTTCCTACAGTGAAGGGGAAGCAAAAAACTACAGTCACCGTGAACAAAACATGTTTTCTGAATAGTACTAATTTTTTAAATGTTGCTGAATTTCGTAGAAATACCATTTAGGGAAAAAAACAGCGTACACCTGAACCTTTCAAGACATTCATTCAAAAATTTTGAACCCGATCAGGCAACTCCGTGGGAGAAAAAGAGAGAAAACTTCGTTTTGTTTTGTTTAAAAATTGCTTTTGAGACACATGAAAAATAAACTGTTCTGTGTACGCCAGAATTTCTTCTCTTCAACTAAAGATATCGAAAACTGGGCGTGTTCACCAGTGTTAGAACTCTATGACCCATGCTTTGAGCACTTTTGGCGTAAGGAATAATCAATATCAGTACGAAAATTTTGGATACAAATAGTAGGTATAGCGCGAGTTTTTCTGCTTCGAATTTAGAGAGGTCGGTTTAATAAAAGTACGAATTTAACAGAAAAGAATTCTCATTTGCACAGCATTTCACAGAGAACACTTCAAAGCTGTAATAGCGATGAAAAACCAAAATTAAAAGAATGTTGATTTTAATGAAACCGAGGCTCGCATTGATATGTAGATCGAAATTGTCCTAAGAATTCCTAGTGGCTCTAGAATTGGCACTCCGTCCATGTCTTGCATAGATATCGAGATTAGAACTGCTACGAAGATTGCTAGTGGCTCTTATGGTTGAAACTAAAGCTCTGTCTCCTATTAATACTGAAATCAGAATCGTGAATAGAACTCTGGTTGGACTTACGGTGAGCATTAAAGTCGTGTCCTACATCAATACCGAAATTAGAATCATAATGAGGACTGATAATAGTTGTATGGTGGAGATTGAAGCCGTGTCCAGTATTGATATCAAGATCAGAATTGAAATGCCAAGGAGTAGTGACCCTAAGACCAGAACTGAGACTGTGTCCTTCATTGATAGTGACGTCAGAAGACGCAGGAGAAGTGCTAGTGGTAATAGAATCTGCTTTGAAACCGAGATCAAAACGAGAACGTGAATTGGTGGTAGTTCTTGATTTGGAACTGAGGCTTTGTCAAGCATTGATACTGAGACTGGAACTATGGCTTAATTTCATTAGGGTTTTTGGGTCTGGATTTAATTCTTGTCCTTTCTTAATATAAAGATCGGAGCTGGGACTCGATTCTATATTTGAACCGGAAATGAAACCATCGTCGAAAACTGTTGTCCGCAATCAGTTGTAAGCAGAAAATTATGGTTTAGTTTCAATCGGAGTATGGTATCTAGCGGCAAACTTTTACTAGACGAGCATGGATGATTGTATCTGGTGCACATTAACTGTAAAGAATAAATAGATAAAGCCTTGGTATAGCTCATACGTATTAATCCTTGATTCAATTGTGTTTCATGGTCGATCAAGCTTTTGAAGACACGTGGAACAGAACAAGCAAAGCGACGATATCTATTTTTACAAGCAAAAAGTGGTATATGATGAATATGTGATGGTTATGTAATTGATGTATAAGGATGAATGCATCAA